TACAACCAAACTTCAAAACCAAATCTTTATATCTGTGGAAGAATTTAGTAAAGGTTTTAAGTAATTTGTGGTAACGAAATCCCTGGCTTAATAATTTACCAGTAATACATAGATAACATTCATTAAAATCAAAAACGTCACAACAGACACGGGCATAGCGAACGAATTGTGAAATATAACCATCGTAAGATGGTGCCAAAGGAACATCACCATCCAAAAAGGGAAAATTAACAATAGGGAACGAAAAATCGTCCCTTTTGTCGTAAATTTTAGTGTGGAGTTTCCCGTGTAAAACCGAAATATCTAAATCTAGGAAAGGACAGTTGTTACCGTTTAAATTTGATTTATTTAAAGTAAGTTTCTTTGGGTAAATTTCGGAAGTATATTGAGAAAATTCTTGATTATTTAACGAAAAAATATCATCAAGATAACGGTATGTGTTGTTGAATTTATCAATTAAATGCAATTTAGACGGGTCTTTACTGAGTTTGGTCATAAAATGTGATTCATAACAGTACAAAAACAAGTCTGCTATTAAAGGGGCGCAATTAGTGCCCATAGGAATACCTACAACCTGTCGATAAACTTTGCTGCCAAAACGTACATAAATATTTTCAAGGAGAAAATTAACAGCTTCAATCATCTCATCACACCTTCAGTAAGTATATCTAGCATATTTACCTTTCTCATTAGAGAAGAAGGCTTTAAATGAGTTGCAGCAAATATATTTGCAGCCCATTTTTGTCTTGACATGAAATATTTTCGATGTTCATTTTCTGTAAATTCACTGTTTATGAAATATTTAATTACTCGAAATACCAAGGTTTTTTTACCCCTCCCCCAAAGCATAGATTGCCTTAGTCGTATTTCGCACAACCTATCGGAATGTTTGGTTTTTAACGGTTTTTAACTTCGTTTTGGTTTGGCCTTCCAAACTGTTCATTAGAGTGCCACTGATGAGTGTAATGTACACGAAACGCGCGTCTGACATCATGGTATCTTTGATAGATTTTGATACTGTTGACTATTATTGATAACAGAGAGAAGAATTCAAATTTTCTCCCTTATTAAAAGACAACAACATACAAAATAATTAGGTCTTCCCATTTCTTGATCCAATGGAAAATATTTTTGTCCTGTCTAAATTCTTTATCATTTCGTTTTGAAGCATTTTTTTTTAAATGTAGTACATTTTCAATGCTAATATGATACAATGCCTTTAATTTATATTTCTCTTTCGAAGATAATTGTTATACATGATCATCCAAATGAATGCATACTTAAAAGAATCTATTAAGAAAACAATCGTTGTACGCACTATAATCGGTACAAGCGAATTGTATCTTATCCTATTCGATTTGTTATGGAGTTATTGTCACTACAATATTTAGATAAGATGAAATTGTATGATTTTCGCCGAAAGCTATTTTATTATAAATAAAGGCAACAGTAGTATACCGCTGTTCGAATACAGGAGTTATTATCCTTTGAATATCATTTTAATGAATCTGTTTATCTTATCTGAACATTTCAAAAACATGTTCATGTTGTCATTTTAATGTTATATTTAACATTGCCATAAAAGCGGGAGGTTTGGCTAGCCACAAAACCAGGTTCAACCCACCATTTTTTTCTTAAAATGTCCTGTACCAAGTCAGGAAAATGGCCATTGTTATATTATAGTTCGTTTCTGTGTGTGTTACATTTTAATGTTGTGTTCCTGTTGTGTCGTAGTTCTCCTCTTATATTAGATGTGTTTCCCTCAGGTTTAGTTTGTAACCCGGATTTGTTTTTTTTTTCTCAATCGATTTATGAATTTCGAACAGCGGTATACTACTGTTGCCTTTATTCATATAGTCATGGGATCGCTACTAATTTATACCTTGTTTTTAAGAGTTTAAGGTCAGGGCTGATATGCATAAAACTACTTAAGTTAAGATTTGTTCCGAAAGGACGGATTTGTCTACATGTCCGACGATAAATTAGTACTACGATTGGATATCTTAACTTAAGTGGTTTTATGCATATCAGCCCTGGACCTTAATGTGATGAAATTCAATATACCCCAACATTTAGATTTCTTTAATGCCTACGTCATTGCAAAGAACACAAGTTTTCAACATTTAGGATATGAATCATATAATGAAATCTTCTGCATAATTTAGATTGCTTTCAATTTCCTTGAAATGATTTATTTTTTAATTAGATTTTTTCCCTGGAGCAAATACATTATTTACACTTTGCTAACTTTTCTAATTGACAACCTATACATTGATGATATACATAGCATCTATTCATATACCAAACCAAATAAGTAAATAGTTTTAAAACAAATATGGATATATCGACTTATAGGCATTCGTCACGCTTTCATTCTTGAAACATATTGGGAATCGGGCAATGAGGTGAGAAATTCTACCTGGCTTTTTAATTGAATATCTAAACTAAAATAGAAATAAAAAGTTGTCAATTGACAAACCAGAATCATGATTCGCAATTATACAGAATAGTACGTAATGATTTTATCATACATTTAATTTTTCATGTAAAAGTATTCTAAGTAAAATATTTCATAAAAAATTGTAGCACTTTTCTGGATTAACCTTCATCAGAAACGGTTGCAGCCAAAAAATAAAACAAGGCCGAGGATGCAAAAGTACCGAAACACGTGAAGATGAACGCAACATGTAGGTCTACTACAAAGCAGGGTATGTTCATATCAAATGAATATTAATTATATATTTACAGCCTATGAAAGTAATGTTGACGCTTCCAAAAGTTTGAAGGTAACATTACAACGAAAAGTAAAATTACAATAAACCGAACTCCAAGGATAATTCAAAACGGAAAATCCCTTACCAAATGACAAAATTAAAAGCTCAAAACACATCAAACGAATGGAAAACAACTGACATATTCCTGACTTGGTACAGGCATTTCCTTATGTAAAAATAGTTGATTAAACCTCGCGTCTGTTGCTCAATAACTTTGTATCTTAGATAAGCTTACTGTAAACTGCGACTTCCGCGAGTAAAAAAATAACGCGAATATAAATCGTCGCGAATATGCAAAACTTGGATCTTTCCCTATTTAACTATATCAAAATAAATTAGAAAATCGCGAAATTAATTCGCCGCGAAGTGTACTAGAAAGGGCGTAACGTGAATTAAAGTATCCGCGAAAATAAGTTGCTTTACAGTATTCTTAATTATGGGTCTGGTATCTTTGATAAGTTTTAATTTGTATAGTATATACTTTTTTTTTAAATCCGATATAGCTACAGTTATCTAGCATGCGCCATGTTATACAAGGAAAATATTTAATTACTTGACATAAATTACTTAAATCCATATGACTCACGAATGAAAATTAAAGTAGTTTCTCATTGGTTAACTGGTTAAACGGATATCAAACTGGTTTAAAAACTATAAAATTATCAGAGGTTGTTACTTTTCAGGAGCACCTGAAATAAACGTTTTCAGATGACATGTGTTGTTCCGTCTTGTTTTCTGTGTTGTGTTTTGTGAACTCTTGGCTGTCTTTTCCCTTTAAGTCGTTGTGGCATTCCTTTTGGTATCACTGTAACTACTACTGAGCTTGTGTCGCTACTGGTGAACATTCAGCCCTCGGAATTACCATCCGTTTATTTACCGGTGCTTCAGTTGAGTCATGATTTAAGTAATAATTTAAGGTACTGAAGTTGTTATCAAGCTTATGTTTCCACTCCCTCCGGATAAGTTTACGTAATTCGACTATGACTGTTATCTTTTGGCAGCTCTTTTGAATTTGGTGCTTATAAATGTAAAATGATGATGAATTAGTTTTTAAGTCAAGTTGCAATTGTACCATGCATATCAGGACTAGACCATTCTTATGTGACGTGAATATTAACCATGCTTTGTACTAGTTTGACAGGCTTATATTGTCAGATTGTTAACGCTAGTTCACAAGGGAACAGTCCGTAGATATGTCACAAACCTAATGTAGTTTTCGCTTTAACTCCTGTATGTCGCGTGTTTAGTGGAGAAGCATCAAATGCCAATTTTCAAGTCATCGGTTTGACACGGTCGGAGATCGAACCAACAACTTCCTAAAGTCGATGTAATCATCCCACCACGAGACCTTCGCGGCAGGTAATGATTTTAATGAAGTTTGCTTTCCAAATGTATTGTTTTGTGTAAACCCTATAAAGGTATGTTTCGTACTATATGTCGTATGTATTGAAGTCATAACCATACCTTTATATTAGAAATATGATTTTACATGTTTTTGTTGACCTTATTATTTCTTTTATATCTTATAGTATGTAAAAGGTTCATAGCGTCTAAGGCAAGTGGATTTTCTACTCTTTTTGATCAGTATGTTACTTTTAAATCTATGCTCGAAATATTCAATACGCATTTGGGCTTTACCCACTTTCACGTCTTTGGAGGCTGGACCAAATAAAATGTGTGAAAGGCTAGAAATTTCCAAGGGAGGAAAATAGAATGTCGAGGAAGGCCACATCCAAAATATATATATAAGTCGAAAAGAAATGCATCATTCCACAAACTACTGTAAATAATAATATGAATTAAAAAGTACCAAAAATTAAAAAACAACAACATTGCATTAAATATTTTTCAGTGAAAGTCATCGTTTGTGAATGATATTATAAATTCGTTGCATAGTGATAGGTTGATTTCATTCTGATTATATTGGAATGATAATTATACAATTCTTAGATTTTTCACACGTCTCGTCATCGATCAAAGTATTAATTTCTTGCAGTATTGTTTGAAGTAACTGACATGAATCCGAAAATAAAATCTTTTGCATAATTTAGATTGTTTGCAATTGCTTTATGATTTATTTTTGAATTGGTTTCAATTACCACCAACTATCAGGTTATTTACTATGATGCTTTAGATATTGACTAACTTAAAGCATCTATATGCTAAGCATCTTTACATATGACTTAATTAGAGAAAATAATTAATACAGAAATAATTTACGAATCAAATATGAATATATCGACTTTCAATGATTCCGTTATGTTTTCAATAAAACATGCCAACGCTCTTATAGCTTATTGCAAAATTTGGTGATGCGAGAAATTCTACATGGCTTAGTTATTAAATATTCTAATAGAACTAAACACTACATGGTGACATTGAAAGGTGGAATTTGACAAACTAGAATAATAATTGAGAAATGGTACGTAATTTTTTATCTATTATTCTAAAAAAAAATTGTATTTCGATATGTACTGTTTTGTTTTTTTTTTACTTTCTGTAAATTTGTATTAGGCGTAACATTGGTATTTGATTAAAATTCAATCAAAAAGTAAGTGCGATTCACAATATATACATATGGTACTTTAGTTTTATAATATAAGTTTCTAGAAAACATTATTTAGAATAAGAAAATCAGCAGCCTGTAAACAAAGTATTGAATAGATTTGGGCAAGAAAATCAGCCTCTAGTTGAAAACAAATAGAGTTTATAAATGAATGAATTCGATATATCTGAAAATTATGAGAGTAAATGATATACGTTTTGTAATTCAATTCATTGATATTTAATTTCTTGTGTTAGATTTTTTGCGATGCATCGATGTGGTGCATTTTGTTACAAAGTGCAAACATATTAACAGGTTTTCGGTACATTTCTTTTAAAAATGCATTTTAATATCTGACATTATACATGAGTGTTTGTATTTTGAATGCATTTGGATTTATTTCCAATTTGATCAGGTGTGTATGTCAGGTCACGAATCATTTCACTATTGAAAATGTCATCCCGTCAATTATTTTATTAATATATTTATATTTGTAGAGCTATGTGCTTTAGCGTATGAAATTAAATATCAATAAATAAGGCATGCTATGACATTAAACGTAACAAATGGTTTGACTAAGGCCATACTAAATAAATCTATTTAGGCTAATCTACAAATAGCAGTCCCTTTTTAAAAAACTAATACCAGGTTGACAGATCTTGTAACCAAAGGAGAATGTAGGGTAAGGCTTCAATAAGTTTGCTATAATTTTTGCAAATTCAGGGACCAAATAATGCCTCTTACCATACCTTCTCCTTTGTTTATTCTAATGTTTTTTTTCATATTATTTTTTCACGTAATTCACATAGAATATTGTACTAAAAAGCATATTGGGTGAACACCAATGAGTCAGCAAAACGACGACACAAACACGCAGGAGATATCTAGATATCAACATGCAGAAGTCAACAAAAATAGGTGCCTAAACAGTTTGTCAAGTATGTGAATAAATCAAAAGAAAGTACCAAAGATTTGCATTAATACCAATTCTAAAAATTAAAAAAACAACAACAAAAAACACAAAACACAAAACACAAAAAAACATAAAGATATGAATTAAGACAACCACTGATGAAGTCATTTACTGTGGACAGGCACATATATATATGGCGACGTTAAACAAGTTTATTTTCAGATCTCATCCCTCCTTCATTTAATCTCATAATGTGTACTAACAAAAGGAACATAAAACATACAATGAAAATCAACGCAGGAAAAGCACCAAACTTATGAATAATGGTGAGATAGAACACGAAACAAGACGACACAAAATTATATCGTATCAAATAGATATAAGAAGATGTGGTATGAGTGCCAATGAGACAACTCTCCATCCAAGTCAAAATTTATAAAAGTATCCATTATAGGTCAAAGTACGGTCACCAACATGGAGCCTTGGCTCACACCGAACAGTAAGCTATAAAGGGCCCCAAAAATTACTAGTGTAAAACCATTCAAACGGGAAAACCAACGGTCTAATCTATATAAAAAACGAGAAACGAGAAACACTTATGAACCACATCAACAAACGACAACTACTGAACATCAGATTCCTGACTTAGGACAGGTGCAAACAAATGCAGCGGGTTTAAACGTTTTAATGGTACCAAACCTTCACCCTTTTTCTGAAACAATAGTGTAACATCACAACATAGAAAGAATGCTCTCAGTTAAAGAAAGCAAGTTCAAAGACTTCAATAATATTAACGGTACAAATTTTCTGCACCAGATGCGCATTTCGTTAAATGTCTCTTCAGTGATGCTCGAGGCAAAAATATTTGAAAAATCTAAAACTTATTAAAAAATGAAGAACTTATAATCCCCTGGTATGAAATCATGCCTTCCTTCTCTCTAACATGCTATTTTAACTGAAAGTTGTCGTCACAGGTACCTTAGATGTATGTCATATTTGATTTGGACTTGTATAATTTAAATGTTATTTAAAATGAAAAAAAATAACCAGTCCATCCTATTCGCTCGTAGGAGACAGATGTTGGTTGTTGGTGTAATCCATCGTTTGTTAATTCCTGTCTATCATTTTAATGTATTAAAACATGATTTTAATTTTACTGTTTTATAACAATTTTAATGCACCAGATGCGCATTTAAGTATTGTAAAAGAAACGATATTCCAGAGCTTGGGTTTCCTATCTTGATTTCCTTGATAGAGGTTCGCTGCTTATACGGAAGCTATTAAACATGGGTTTCAAGTAGCAAATTTGATGTTATACAGACGCCTTAACGAGTTTGTTGACCGTTATGGAATACCTGTTCGCAGATGACGATGGATATATTCTAGTTGTCGTAACCACAATCCCTTCCCCTTTTCCTCACATAAGACATCACCGAATCCGACTTATCATCGTATAATTTATACTTACACGAGCTACATGACGAGTGCCAAATGTGGAGCAGGATCTGCTTAGCTTCCGAAGCACCTGAGATCACCCTGGTTTTTTGGTGGAGATCGTGTCGCTCAGTCTTTAGTTTTCTCTATTGTGTTTTGTAGACTGTTGTTTGTCTTTTTGTTTGTTTGTCATGATGTTTTGAGTTTGCTTTGAATTTGTTTTTGACTTATGAGTTTGAATATCCCTTTGGTATCTATCCCCTCTCTACTTTTCTATAGTCGAATCATTCCGAAAAGTAGAACACAATAATGGTCATAATTTCCATTTTCAAAAAAAACGAAGTCAAAGCACGATTAAGTTCAGATTATGTAAGATTAAACAAAAATATCTTGGCAACTTAATGTGATTGTAAATAGCAAGTAAAAGAAAATCCATTATCTTAAGAGATTTACAAACGCTTAGGGAAATGCATATTTTATGGTACTTAAGTCGAGTAGTATAACGTTTCAGATATTCAGATAACGTCAGCCATATGTGTAAACTTAAAATGTATGAACTGCATCACTTACTATATTCTGAATCATTGTTGAAGTAACATTCGCCGACAAAACTAGTATCACAGATTACTAAATTTCTTTTCAACTGCAACAGTGTACATTGAATTTCATGTTATCAGAGGGAAGTGAATTCGACCTCCTTTGTAAGTATTAAATCGAGTTTTACGCAAACGATACGTGTTTATAAGACCCTCATTAGTAATTCACTGTAGCTCAAGACAAAGGAATTTTGATAACCAAAAATACAAGATTTTTAACAACATAAAGATCAAAAGAAGATACTAGTACCAACCAAAACAGCATGACTTAAATTTGTTTATGCAGTTGTAACCTACGTTTTGGTCTAATTAAACGATTTTGATTTGTCAAATATACCATCTGAAAATCATATACCCTAACCGATGCACTGACTATGAGCGAATGACACGATTTGTGATTAGTTAAGCAGCAACTACATCTTCCTAGTTCTCGCATATTAAACTATATAAAACCTTTCTTTGTATGATTTCATGTACGTATTGACTTAAACTCATATTTTTTTACAATAATATATATTTGAACATTTTTTTGTCATAACATACAGTAAATGCGTATTTCCCAACCATTATCTATTATTTCCCAATATAGTTCCGCATTCAAGTATTTCTATTTGCTTTTAGAAAAAAAAATTAAAGTTCGAACTCTTCAACACTTGACATTTGAACATCATTCAGAAAAACCTTTTAGTGACAAGTAATGTGAAATTGGAAAATTGTCAAGACATTAGAAACAAGACAACTTATCGGCTATAAATTCGAATATCCGGATATAGTTTATACAAATTGCTCTGAGATATATTTATTTCATCAGAAGGTAAGGCAAATGTGTTTTCTCGCTGTTTTTTTTTTAACTGCAAATTTCTTCCCTATAGATTTGTACAAAGTAAATGAATATATATAAAAAAAAACACTCTTCGTTATATTTTATTGAAACTGTCTCATAATCTTAACCATAATTGTTCACATTTACATTTTGTTTTTTTGTTTTTTTTTTGTTTTTTTTTCGGATCAATTTTGAGGTTTTCAAAACAAATCATTGCAAACTCCGGTATGTATAACAGATCGAATTTACGTTTCAGTTTATATGCCTAACTTTAAACAGTATTATGGAATTTGAAAATTATACTTTCTCAGGTCTTTTTTTTCATTTGCCTGCAGATAGCGAGTTATTTTTAAATTCATTTATGTATAATGGTAATTTTATAACCAAATTTCATCTGAAGCGTGTATTGTTCATCAACATTTGCTTTTTAAAACTTCTATTTTTGCGAAGGATTCGGCTATTTATGGTTGATGTAGTGAACTGTCAAACATGTTTGGATATTCCTGTTATCCTATTGTTGTATTGAGTAGGTTTTAGATATAGGAAGATGTGGTATGAGTGCCAATGAGACAACTCTCCATCCAAGTTACAATTTATAAAAGTAAACTATTATAGGTCAAGGTACGGCCTTCAACACGGAGCATTGGCTCACACCGAACAGTAAGCTATAAAGGGCCCCAAAAAATTACTAGTGTAAAACCATTCAAACGGAAAAACCAACGGTCTAATCTATATAAAAACGAGAAACGAGAAAACTAAATAAATAGGCGACAACTACTGTAATCAGATTCCCGAGGTTTTGTATGTTTCGTTTCTGATGTCCAACTTTTATGGAATCTGGAAGTCTTTTCTGTCTTTCTGCAAACGGTTGCATTCTTTTTGTCTCGAAGCATCTATAGATTTTCTTTTTCCATTCTTTAACAATAATGGTCGGTAATGTGATATATGCAAGTTCTGTTAGTCTGTGATTACACAAAACATAATTCAAAACGTTTCTCTATAGAAACAAACAATAATTACAAAATAAATGAAACATTTTTGCTGCATGTTTAATGATGATCAATAATAAGTAATATTTGATCAAGGGAATATTGACAATATAAACAAAAGTTTAAAAGTTCTGCAAATATGTTTGTTATAAAATACACAAACGTAATAACAAAGCTATCGCTTATGAAAATGACTGGTTATTATTGAAATTTGCATTTAGGTTTTTGGACAATTAAACATGTAATTAAAGCAACAAAATCAATTATTTTAAACGTATGTAATGTATCCAATGATAGTAACTAGTTATATGTTTTTCAAAAGAATAGTAGTTATTTGAGACGATACATATTTAATTATTATTTAAATATTATAAATACATTTAGAGGAAAAAAAATATTAAGTCATTCATTAGTTCAAATCACTTTGAAAATACATGACCACCATTTCGAATAGTTTATCAAAGAGAGGCGACAGATACCAAAGGGACATCCAAACTCACAAGTCGAAAACAAACTGACAACGCCATGGCAAAAAAACAAAACAAAACGAAAAGACAAACAACATAAACCACAACACACAACACACAACACAGAAAACCAAATACTGAGAAACACGAACTCCACTAAAAATAGTCGCTACGGAAAGGCAAGCAGACCATGCTCCACATGTGGCCTCAGTCTAGCAATAATCAGGCTTTTAGAATAGGGAATAACGGTTGTACTATAAACTTCAAGGTACCGGTACGGTAAACCTGAAAGCATTGGTAGTCGCATTCCTGTTTAGCACGAAAGACTATTGTATGAATCCATCCAACAACTTATTTGGAGTACATCAACAATGACAATACGAGGAAGAATATTAGAAAAAAATCCATAAAACCAATACTAAGTACGTGTCAAAGAATATTCTCCACTGCGAGACAGTTTTAAATGCAAAGTAAGCGTGAAAATAAACTCATTATAGTTACCAGGATTAACATTTTGTACGTCAGACGCGTGTTTCGTATACAAAAGAATCATCAGTGACGCTCGAATCAAAAATGTTATAAAGTCCAAATATAGTACGAGTCTGAAAATCATTCAGGGGCCAATTTCCGAAAGGTTATTGGTAATAGTTAAAACCAAAAACGCCTTGTACAACAGGCATTTTATTAGACAGAAAATGCACAATACAACATAAATGGTAGAGACATCTTTATAGGTGGCACGGTAGTATTTATATTCCGGAATTTAGGTTGCTCTTTTGTGTAGTCAATGTATCTGAACACTGTGATTGGACAAAAAATACGGTACCTACTGAACATATTTTTCCAATCTGAGGGATGAAGTCTGTATTCACTGCATGATAAAAGATCTAAAAGCACTAGTGGCCTTAAGTTTCTAAAGATATCAGAAAAAGTAAACGGTCATCATACATATTCAAATTCATTTCTGAATATTATAATGAAAGTTCTTCAGTTAAGTATGTATGTAGGTTTTTGGGCAGTGTTAGAAAGTGATGAAACTTCTAAAAAGGCTATCATTATCCCTATGGGCCAGGAAATACAACCAAGCCACCTATACAGCTGACCAAGGGAGAATGTATTTAAAAAAGTAAAATAAAATCCATTACAGAATAGCAATAGTAAATGAATATGTATTTCAATGTAATATACGTTAACTATTGCTGCATCTGTTGTAATTTTATGACATTGTCAGCTAGTGTCTGCTTGGGTTTTTCTCTCTCTCTCAAAAAGTATTCTTCGTGTAGGTAGAATATGAAGGACAAGCTAGGGCTTATTCAGCGCATGTATCCTATATTTTGGTTAAAAAAGGTAAACATACATCAACTTATCAATGAAAGCTGAATTACTTGATTATTGAGAAAATGAAGTAAGAAATTACTAAAGGGAAAGGGATCAAACACCATTAATTCAAGTTGATTAGACACAACCAAAAGAAGAAGGCGAATGATACATAAACCACAAATTACTTTTTGTGAGAAACAGCAGTTAATCCTTCTGTCGATTAACACATCACACACAGTATAAACAATCAATGAAATATGATAGTTATCTACATTTTCAGTTTAATGGAATATCATCTCTGACTTTGTCATTTTTATCGATTGTTTGCTATCTCTATTTTTTTTTTTATGTAACTGTTGTTTTTAACTGCATAGTTTAAGTGCAAATATCCACAATTAGAAGGATAGAATGCAGTAAATTGATTTGCTTCTGTTTGTGTTCAAATGCAGTAAATGTATTTTTCATCTACAAATGGCATAATATGATGAATTACAAGATTCTGTCTTTCGTGTTTACAGAAAAATGTTGAACTCTCTACCAGTCATCAAAAGGTATCATTCAAACGCACATTGATTTCCCATTTCTGTTGTAATTAGTTTTCATTTCTTCGGTTGATGCTATATGTTTCACGTTATAAAAAGTATTTCTAAGCAGTATTACTTTGTTATTGAGGGTATGGACTCTCTTGATTAAACTTTTATTACTTTCGTAATGTTCATTTTATATGATATTATCCGAAAAAGAATATTTAATGTCAGAGAACATAAACAAAATGACTTTCATATACATATGGTATGTCACCTGTGTACGAATGAGTGGTGTAATTGCGTTTGAGCATATATTCACACCACAGCTATTTTTTAAGGTATCTGGTATGTGAATACTACCAAAAAACACAAACCAAATGGTTGAAACAAAATCAAGCAAACCAATAGGAAGTTTGAAGATATGTGGTGTAAATATCTATATTAAGCTTCCTTTAGATGTTAACATTTTTGTATGAATATTTGTCTTGGACAATCACGCGTATTTTGACGATTTATATGTTTTTTTCTGTTTTTTTATTATGTTGGGTTTTGGTATCATTGAACCATGTATCTACCATTTTCCACCGCCGTTGGTCTCGTGGTAGCGTGCTCATCTCAAGTGCGGGGTCATGGGTTCGGTCCCTGGTCGTATCAAATTAACGACTTGAATATTGGAGTTTGCTTCTTCTCCACCAAGCACGTGGCATTTAGGAGCAATAGAAAAGACTGATCGGCGCGTAATCAGAATAATGTGTCCGGGTGGACTGTTAACTTGTAAACTAGCACGGTAATAATCTGACAAAGCGTGCCGGTTTAGTTCAAAGCAGGTTTCATTTATTCGTGCTCTCATCCTGAATAGCATTTAATTTGCTAATGGACGTTTAACAGTCAGCCACTCATTCATCTATCATATTTACCATTGCCACTGGACGTTAAGCATGCGCCAATCCATATTAACCTCATTTTCAATACAGTTTGGTTGTCATACTTTGAATTCTATTGGTTTTTATTCTCTCAAATGTTTTTGTTTTCTTTTAAGGGTATCAAAATCTAAGTCTCGAGTTTAAAATCCGCATTCTTATTTTTATTCGCACAAATGTAATAAATAAAAATGTACATTTCATTCTTAAATTTTAGCCCTTTATATGTGAACCAATATATTGTTTTGGTCTATAAATCGCTATCTGTTTATATGAGACTTAAAGAAAGTATGAGGTGTGAACAATTGATTTGTTAAATGGTACTATGGTCATACATATAGACTGATGCGCAAATCAAAGAATCGCGTGTTAAGGGAAATAAAAGATATGCTGTTGGAAAGAAAGAGTGAACTCTTATATACGCTTTGTTGGTGCAAACATTGGTAATCGGTATTTTCAAAACTAAATCGATTACATCAGCTTACTTCAATAAAAATTAAAAACGCATTTTACTTTCGATGTAATTTTGTTGGTGAATTGCCCTACAAAATAAATTGAGTTATCAGTTATAACGAAGTATAAGACGTCATACGACAGAATTTAATAGTCTCTCTGACATATTCTCCATATTAAAAACAAATTTGACTTAAAGGTGTTTCGTTTCATAACGGTTTCTTTAATCAGATTTGTAAACGAGTGATATGATAGGTAAAATATCGGATTAAAAGCAAGTGATTGCCCATGACTTTTATTACCACAAAGGAACCGTTATCCGTGTTAATCAAATTTTAGAACGCTAGTCATTTTAGATATTCAGTATTCGATCATGTTGCGAAGGTACTATATATAAACAGTTGCTATTACAGTTATAGAAAAGGATTTATCTTCGGACATTTAAGGTAAAAATTTAATTTGAGAAATTTTAATGTGGAATAGTTTGCAAGACTTTCTTTTGAACCCCCTTTATGTATGTTTATGCTTATTTTTTCAAAAGAGGGGTACAAAAAGAAGAATATTTGTTTATGTATTTATCCGGTATTTTTCCGCTGGAAAATGCAAGTCTATGATCGATAGTTTCGTAGATATGCATAAAAAGCTATATTGCTGAGAAATGCATTTACATGTAACTGAAAACAATTTCTCGCTGGACAATGTTTGTATGCAACTCATCATTAACAGTGCTTTCTAGATAGAAATGTTTAAATTTCTAAACATTTTACGGATTTATATCAAAACTGGTCTTTATTATCATTTCAGGCAGCCGGTTTAAATAAGTACGTTAGATTTTCAAAAACAATGAATTCATTAACGCAAGTCGAAATAGAATGTGAGTATATTTATAATAGAGACTGGTAGGGCCAATTTCATTTGATGATGTTTCACACAATGGCCTTTTTCAACAAATCTCTCCATTTTCATTTACATTCATAGTTACTAAGCTCAATATTTTTACAAGGTTCTAACAATAGTATGTACCATTTCTAAACGTATCACCAAATTATGCACGCCGGTAGAAAGCAAAAAACCGCAATTTTGTGAGATGTTTTGTACATTTTAAGTATGTATTAGAAGGACATGTACAAATTAGCATATTTTTTTTTATCATAATGCCTTCAACAGCGACATGTAACGCCGATGAACATTTTAAATGTATGAATGCATGAACATATGTGAAGTTGTTGAAGAATGTTTAAAATAGAATGATTATATATGATACACTCTTTGATATTCAATTTCCAGTAGAATTTGATATCTTTTAGATTTTGACCCTAAAAACTTTTCTTATTTTGACCCTGTCATGCGGAAACAAATACAGGACAAATACAGGACAAATTTCTCCAACATCTTTTGAAGTAACTCTATCTTTCACATTTTACCCTTTTTCAAAAATAAAATGTTGTTTTACCGTTACGGATCATCTTGGTAGAAATTATGCGGTAGAGTGACTGTCTTAAAATTTTGTTATGTTGAGTCGGACAGTTGATTTACATGAAAGGAGATGCTGGGAATGCTTCAGTGAGAAAGTAACCAAACTGCACAAATAATCAAAAGAAGTAATATAGTCCCTGTGTTTGTCTTTATGTACTAGTCTTGTTTTATTTGAAGGACGACTTTGTGGGTAACACAGACATCTGTAATACTAGTAGTATAATTATGTTAGCACTTCTTGTGCTTGTTTTAACATATTATCGAGACATAAGCCATTCCGATTTTTTCCTATTTTATTACAATCTTTTTATTTTATGATTTTATTATATACTTTCACTTTTATATGAATGAAAGACACAGTCTTACTTATCAATACACATTTTTCTAAGGTTATATTCTCATTCATTTCAAGCATAAAACTGTCATATAAGACCCAGTCGCTTACTAAGTAAATCCCATTACAACATCATTTTAACAATCGGGATTTAAAAGATCATGTAATCTTATTTTTAAACGTCTCTTAAACATGGAATAACCATTAATTCTAAGCCAATGGCGATAAAACAAGAAAAATATTGAATTATGTTTTATAACATAATGCCGCTATACATGTGTGAATATTGTCTCAGTTTTTACAATGTAATTGATCGGCGGGACATGTTATGACTGAGAGCTCACGGTTATTTTAATAAATAATAATTAAATAAATATAATAATTCTTTATAGTACAAGTAAAACATTATACTTGTGACAAATACAAATAATAACAAAAACAAAAAATAAACTGATTTGAATACATATATAGATAGATATACAAGTAAAAATAACTAGTCCCTGTCCTCAGCTCTAAAGACTGTTTTATAAATTCACTTGGTTCATATTAGGAGGATTTAGCAGGACTACTAGTTTTTCAGAATCAGAAAGATAAGCAAAAAAAGAGGATTATCTATTGCGATGTCATTAAAAAGTTTAATACGTAATATTTTAGTATTAACTACATACTCGTGCCAAATATAAACAACGCAAACATAATCTTAATTTACCGACAGCCCGTCATGCTCGATGGACACCAGATTGTATTATAAATATTCACAAATATTATTATTGCAATGCATACATAATTCAAAATCATGCAATTCCTATGTATATATTATCTTAAATACAACCAAACCAAACCAACTTTGACTAAATACACCCCTTCAGGCCAGGAACAACTAGAGATAAAAAACGATCATCGATCAAAAAGCTCTAGAAACCGATGCCAGTCGATGCCAAGTGCATAATCCCGTCTCCATGGTCAGGCGCTCTGACCTACACCTTAAAATGTGTGTATTGGCAAATCAAAATGCAATCATAAAAAATATCATCGTATATACATCAAAAATCTAAGTTGAGTGTTCACTCGTTGCACGACAGCTAGAAAGTGACCCTATGCTTTATTACCAGAAAGTACACCCATTGGTCACTATAAGTGACCCTATTATATATTCATACGACCCGTACCGTCAATATAATATTTTCCCGCTGTACTTAAACGAAACGCGGGAAAATACAATTATTTTGACATAAGAGGAGAAAGTGGTTTTCATCTTCTTTGGTTTTACAAGTTATTGCGACGCTGTAGAATATACCGAAAAATAACCCGATGTTTTTCAGTCATACGAGAGGCTTTTTTTACATAAGTGATGACTATCATTTAAAAGTCCTTTTTGGCGAAACCACAAAGATGGGTGTGTTTTGTTATCTTTCTTTTTGTGTAATACATTAAAAAATAAACAGGGATTACCAAATATATCTAACAGTACAATAGATCAATTTGTTTGAGAAATATAAACAAATCAATCTCTGGAAAATGTTTTAATAAACTTTTATAAAAATATACTTCGAATAAAGTACATATATTCAAACAAAATTGATAAATATCAATTAAAGATCGTAGCTTTTGAGAAAATCATGTCTTTACATTTATATCCAGCTTATACTAACACCTTTTAATCTATAAGTAAAACACACCGAGACCCAGGTGTGAACTAAATTTCCTACTGCTCAGCTCTAGATTAGGGAAAATTCTTTTACCACCTTAATACCCCTCTCTTTTTGAGTTAAATAAGAACCTGGCACTCACACATTGTATACTATATGCAATTAATCTCTTTTCGTCCAAAATTTCGATATTGATTAAAGCGGGGGTATACAGTCTGTCGACACAACATGATATAAGTAATCATAGGTGAAGGCACACAAGATAAATAATTTTAAAAAAGAATATTAGAAAATAAACAAACTTTTAACAATACACATTTCATAACCATGTCTATAATAATCTTAATCGAGAACGAGCTAAAAGTTTTGTAGATAGTTACTTTAAAACGGAACCTTTACACAAAAATACTGAATCACTGATGATAACATCAACAAATCGTTAACATTGCTCGTTTCTATTTTTGGATTTTCCAATATCTCGATGGTGCGCTATTATCGTTTTAATAATTGTTTTATCAATGTTAAAATGATACTATGTTGTCGAACTTCAAATGGGGACCTATCTGGTAATGTTCTGTATTACACAATTTCACAGGTTCTACGTTTATTTACCGGGGAACCACTGCAAGAGTGAAACACACAAAAGATACCTCACGTATATGTATGTACATCAGGGTTATCATGCTTTGTTGTCCTTCAAATATTCAAAAAGCAAATTATCTCGGGGATACTCTTATCATATTTTGCTGATTTATGAAAGTAAAAATAAAATATAAGAGAATGCTAAAAAAAAAAAAACCAAAAAAACCAAATGAATTAAAAAATAATAAAAAACATATATACATTTTATTATATAACAGAGGTAAATTGTCTATAAATATTTTTTTTTAGATTATAGAGACGCTTTTAAGTTCTTTGACAGAGACAAGAAAGGATACATTACCGCAGATGACTTTGATAAAGCTCTCAGACGTATGGGTAACAGCATTCCAACTGAAGAGGAAGTCCAAAACTTGCTGAAGGAATACGATATAAATGGTAGGTGGCGCTACAATTTGAATGTTCATTTTACTAGAAACATTACAAGAAAGTGTCTAATTCTTTCATTTATCCCCCATAATAATAAAAAAAAATGTATTAGAAAAAGAAACAAGGAAAAATATTATGCAAGATGGCACCCTACTAAGTCTAAAATACAATTGTTAGTACAAAAGTAAAACAAAAAAAAACTAACTACAATATTGTTTTCAAATAACCTCCTCCCAGTGTTGAATATTTTAACCGTCAATTCTTTATTGTATTTTAGATAATTGGGTATCTACCATGCATCTGTTGTGGTGTTATTTTTTCTTTCTAGGAACAAACAATTCAAGTGTTTCATAAAAAAAAAACTATTTTTCAATAAAAAAAAAGCGGGATAACCTTTTCTTATAATTAATGAGTTTTTTAAACTAATTTTCGATACAATGAACTTTTTTCCGTTCTGTAACAAATTAATTTTTATGGTAGAATCAAACAATGTATTTACTTAAAAAATAACATGCATTCCTCCGCACTAATTATATGAATTTAGAATTAAGAATTATTATTTGGTAAAATTCATTTAATAATAGATGTTTTGGTCAATTACTTCTAACTTTCAACAATGTTGTATGATTTAAAAAAAAGTTAGCTGGTGATTATCTGGAAAGTGTTATTAAAGACTTTCATAGTTTTCGATTTCATACATTTGTACTTTTAAATTTCAAGGTGATGGGAAGGTCACATTCGAGGAAATGGTTGTTATGACTGTCAAGCGAAAACAAAATGAAGATGAAGACCCAGAAAGCAGGAAATTGTTCGATAAATTTGATAGCAATAAAGATGGTTATTTAAACAGAGAAGAACTGGTTGAAGTTTTAGCCCAGTTAGGACCGAGATTATCGTCTACAGATGTTGAAGAGATTTTACGAGATTATGACGAGAATCATGACGGTTTAATTCAATTTTCAGGTAGTACTTTAACTACCAAACAAATTAAATATCTGAAATGTTTGAATTGAATGCATTTTTTTTCTTTCCTTTCAATTCACCACTTTAATTAGGATAGTCCTGTATAAGCTGGTCGATTTTTAGTAAATATGTTTTCGGTGTCCTATTTTCCAAACTTTTGAATCAGTTGAGCGTGCCCTAGTGATAAAGTGTAAAATTATCTCTTCGAAAGTTTTCCAGACGTCATTATGAGTTGGTTCACCATTATGGAATATCACAAATAATCACTGATATGTTACAATTATCTTTAAAAGCCACAAACTCGTCTTCTTTTCTTCGATTGGGGCATCACCAAATGAGACTTTGCACCGAATGTTTACTAAACAGAAAACAGTCTCCGGGACAAGTTTGCACTTCCGCTGAGTGCAAAAGTTGTCACCTTAATTTTTGGAGTTAAGTCAAAATGAAGTTGATAACTTGGTTGGTATTGGTTCCCTGATATTTGTCCTAAAAAAATTTGGCTCTAGCACCACTGTTGAAAAAGTTATGCCCCTTTTTTCAACAATTTCCTCAGAGGAAAAGTAGTTTTCCTCAAGGGAAATCAAATTTCCCTAAAGGAAAAAGATTTTTCCTCAAGGGAAATTGTATTTTCCTCAAAGGAAAAAGATTTCCCTTAGGGAATTTGCTGCATTAATATTTCCTTTGAGGAAATTCTATTTCCTGTGAGGAAATTTGCGGCTTCAAATTTTCCTTTGAGGAAATTCTATTTCCTCCGAGGAAATTTGAGGCTTCAAATTTTCCTTTGAGGAAATACTTTTTCCTGTGAGGAAATTTGCGGCTTCAAATTTTCCTTTGAGGAAATACTTTTTCCTGTGAGGAAATTTTGTCAACAGCTATTTCCTGTGAGGAAATTTTTGACAGACACTTTTCCTTGAGGGAAAATTCAAGACCACAAATTTCCTCTAAGGAAAACATTGTTCTCCAAATTTCCTCTATGGAAATTTCTGTTATTCAATTTTCCTCTATGAAAATTTCAAAACAGTAAAAACAGTATGAATATAATTTTTCTGAGACTGAATAATTGATACAAAAGATAATTAAAACTTTAATAAAATGTTCACTGATGAGTAACATGACATACAAAAACAATAGGCTAGCTGTTTGAGACAATACAATAACAAGCAAAACGCTATGAATATCATACTATTTGTGATGTTATTAATATTGTGCTCATATTTGCAGATTAAATAAAATAACCACTTTTCATGTTAATTTAACTTTTCTTCTGTTTAGGCTGCTGCGTACAATTATTCAATCCCCTACATAACAGTTCAGTGAATAAATAATTACATCCACCAGACATCTTCCTTCAATTGGTAAAGAATACATGTTTGCAATTTGTTCTTCAAACGTCTTCCTCTGTATATTTGATATGACAGAGCTATGTACATGAATGGATAAAGCAGGTGTTTATTTCGACAACAAAATACTATTTTTTCTACATTTCTCCATAATCCTTCAGTGAATATGTAGGTTGTTGCAATTACACAATTGTGTTCTTGTGCATCTATGATTGTACTCCATTTTGTTTACAGCCATTTTGTAGAAATTTCCTATTTTCTTTTTCCAGGTAAGCACACATTTCATTTCACATTAATCCAATTAGCACACAATGTAGAAAAGTACTCTTCTGTATTGACCTGTTGATGATCATGAAAACCAAGAAGTCTCACCTATAAATACACAAAAAAATAAATTGAGAAAAAAAACAGCAATATGAAATAAGCTTATTTTATCATGTTTAATATGAACATTTTGAGAAACTTAAATTTGAAATTCGTACTAATCATGATTATGAGTTCTGTTATTTCAGTGCTTTGTGTCCACGACTTAATATCAGTCGTTTTAGTGCCTTGCAGTGATAATGAGTTGAGCCACTTGCAACAGTTTTTACAGTTTGTGCTATTTGAACCACTGTCCTAGATTATGGTTAGGTGGAGTGCTCACAGACATGATTTTTTTATTAATTGTTATTGGCTTTGAACTAATTTGGATTGTTTAAATCTTTTCATGTTGGGGTCTTTATTGGCTGACTAATAAGGTATGGGTTTTCTCATTATCGAAGGCCGTCATTGGTTTTTAATTGCTTTCATCCACTTCTTTGAACTCTGGTGGATAGATAACTCACATACCACATCTTCTTATTTTTATAATAGTCATCATTCAAGGGCAATCACTTTTATTATATAGAAGTGGTCTTACCATTTAGGCCTTGTTGTCTTCTGTTTATGTTGTTTTGCCGATCATTTCTACTGTACAGTTGTAATTGTTTATATTTTTCTTTATCTTCTATATTTCTTGCCCTAAACTTAAAAAAGGTAAAAACTATAATTTAATGACTATAACTATTATTGTACATCAGTATGTGTTTTTCTATATACCATGATATATAAAAAAGGAATGAAATATTTGTGCTATTTCATTTCACAGACTATTTGCCAGTCAACAGTTTCAAAGACATAACCACAGTCAATAGTTTAACAAACAAACATTCCCGTACATTTTCATTGTGTTCATACTAATTTTTCAATGGACAACAATGACGTGATTAACTATTCTTCTATGATGTGTGTGCTTGACAACATTAAACTCTGAAATATTGTTTATGGTATAATCTGTATGTGTCTGTCGTCAAAATTTCAAATTAACATATTACTTACAGAAGCAATTAAAACAAGAGGCTCACAAAATGAATGGGATCTAAGAACTTAAAAATTTCTAATTTACCTATTCAAACCATATCATTATTATTTGCTTTTATATATAAATCATTCAGAAATAACCAAATTTTAAAGAAAACAAAAGGAAAAAAAGGAAAAAAAATCCCCCCCAAAATGTTTTGAACCCCCTTATGATTCATCACCCCCAAACTCAATCCCAGCCTTCCCTATGTGGTATGGTACCTTGCTGTACAATTTTAGAGAGATCCATACACTTGAACACAAGTTATTGTCTGGAAACTAGAAAAATGCTTGTTTTTTGGCCCCAAATTCCTAAACGTTTAGGGCAATTACCCCCAAACTCAATCCCAGCTTTCCCTTTGTGATATGGAACCGAGTAGTACAATTTCATAAAGATCCATACACTTACACACAAGTTATTGTCCTAAAACTAGAAAAATGCTTGTTTTTGTCCCTTTTTGCCCCTAATTCCTAAAATTTTGAGGCAATTGCCCCCAAAATCAATCCCAGCCTTCCCTTTGTGGTATGGTACCTTGCAGTACAATTTCAGAGAGATCCATACACTTGAACACAAGTTATTGTTTGGAAACTAGAAAAATGCTTATTTTTGGCCCCTTATTCCTAAACATTGTGGGCAATTACCCCCAAAATCAATTCCAGCTTTCCCTTTGTGATATAAAACCTTGTAGTACAATTTCAGAAAGATCCATACACTTACACACAAGTTATTGTCATGAAACTAGAAAAATGCTTGTTTTTTGCCCCTTTTTTGGCCCCCAATTCCTAAAATTTTGAGGCAATTACCCCCAAAATCAATCCCAGCATTCCCTTTGTGATATGGAACCTTGTGGTACAATGTCAGAGTGATCCATACACTAACACACAAGTTATGTCTGGAAGTTACAAAAATGCTTATTTTTGGCCCCTTATTCCTTAACTGTTGGTACCATAACTCCCAAAATCAATCCCAACCTTCCTTTTGTGGTATTGAACCTTATGGTAAAATTTCATAGAGATCCATTCACTTAAACTAAAGTTAGAGTGCGAAAACCAATGTGTCTTTGGACGACGACGACGACGCCAACGTCATACCAATATTTTGACCGCAAAATTTTTTTGCGGTCCTATAAATACTGCAAAGTTTCCTTAAAATTACCAATCTAGTGGCAGCAACCCAACAATGGATTGTTAGATTCATCTGAAAATTTAATGACTGATAGAACTTGAAATAATGAACAATTTTACCTCACATAAGATTTGCTCTAAATGCTTTAGTGTTTGAGATATAAGCCAAAAACTGACAATTTTATGTTTAAAGGGTCTATAATTTAGATTGACAACTTCAGACATACTAATATTTGACCTTTTCAAACTATACATTACCAAATCACTACTTAAGGATGTTCGCTACTCTGTTTCAAAATAACAAGCTTTTTAAAAGACTGTTATAAATTGAAAGTATATGAATAAAGGAACTAAAAAAACAGAAAAATGAAGGGTCCATGTGCTTGTTTTTAAGATATAAGCCATTAAAAATTTGGCGGGAAGTGATTCTCTCTAGACTTTTCATACACTTAACACTGGCACCTTTTTCTTTCAAAAGCTATGGAAAAATAACAAGGATTTTACAAGATTTTCAAATATGGCTTTTTAAACTATGTAATAAAAATATGAAGAGAAAAGTAGGGATTTGCGGGCAAAATTTTTTAATGGCACTGCATGGATAAATCCAGAGGATTCCGAATATCTGGTAAAAATTCAAAATCAAGAGGAGCGAACATCCTTAACCTAAAAAAATTGCCACATTTTTTCCAATGTAATTTGGAAGGAGTATGAAAATAATTTGCAAGTTATACACTATCCACACTATAGACCTAATAGAGCATGTAGTCAGAGTAGAAATACTAATTTTAATCAAACTTGGCATGAACTAAGATTAGGGAATTATAAGACAGTTTACCTAGTTTCGTGGCAATAGCATATATACATTAAAGACTATAAGTTCATTCTTATATTTGAACTTTGGGTGTTAATTTTTTGCCATTTAATGTTTAACGTTTAACTATCAAGATTTGGGCCTACATAATTTAAATATTGCAAAAAACTGCTTTTTAAATGTCTTTATAACTATTTATATATAATTGTGTATGTCACATGTATGTACATGATGTATTTTAATGTAAAGCAGCTGAATACTCATTTGCTGTATCAGATTTATTTCAATTCTTCAAAAGTCGAATTTATATGAGCCTATGCCTGAAAATAAAGATTTCAAATTAAGGGGGGGGGGGGGGGGGGGGGGAGGCTAATATAAAAATTCTTCATGTATATTTATAAAGATATTTGTATTTCAAAAGGAAAGAAAGTTACTTATCTGCTTATAGCATACCACATGAGTAGAACAAGGTCCCATTAGGCCATGCAAAACTGAATAACATTAAAGGTCAATATAGGCAGTAACACATTTTTTTTTTACATGTATATGAAAAGGCATACACATAACAATGCATAAGCTAGAGGAAATAAAAATGTGTTTCTTTTTGGTAATTTGTAGGCTAAGGTGACATCATACAAGAAGTATGAGTGATTCTTAAACTAAAATAAAATAATTTCATCCCCCTACTTCATTGTACAATTAAGTTTACTTTTTATGCATAAAAAATATAAATAAATAAATTTTGAAGTAATACATGGTCCACACTAAGGAATCTTTTTGTAAAAAATGAAAATCAATGGATGATAACTATGTACTTGGAATAACAGTTAAGATTTCATATGCTGAAATGTCTCGTCAGCCCAATATCTCAGTCAGTGAAATAAATTATTGTTTGTTTTTTTTTAAAAGTGATATGGAAGTAGTCCAAATAATAATGACGCATTGCAAGGCTTTTTTTTCTCTCTCTGACGCCGTAGGAAGTAGAAGTGAGTTGACATGACATGTATGTTATCGTGCAAAATCAACAGTAATGAGTATACCTATGATTGTCATCGTCACTGCAAAAGGATCATTAATAACAGGGGGAAAGGAACCAATAAATTGATCGGATCGGATATGAAGTTCCCAGTAACGGAGAACCTCTAACCTGCTAACTTTGAGGTAATATTATTAGTGTCGGTGGTCTCACAAATGAATCAGGGTGAATTGCAGGTTACATTAATTAGCAGAGAATCAACTTGTTATTCATTATCTCGCAGTTATTTACGGTTAATTAGCTGTATATATCCCAAAACAGGTGCTCGGAGCTAGTACTAGTCTATGACTAATAAGTAACAATTATATTTATATTCACAATCAGTGGCGGATCGAAGGAGGATGGGATCCGGGGGTTTAACTCCTCTTTTGGTGAACGATCAATGCATTTAATGGAGACATATATTTGGACCCCCTTTATCCTGGCTGGTATCGCCCCTGATATTACATGATCAAGTCCCGGGTTACTGTTAGCATAATAGCATAACGGTAATCACAAAGAGTGTGGTAATTTTAAAAAGGACGAGGATTTATAAATATACAATTCTTGAAGGTAAACGGACAGAAAGTCACAGGACAAAAAGTCACAGGACATAAAGTCACAAATTGGATAGGACAAAAAGTCACAGGACAAAAAGTCTCAAATAATTTGTTGACAATTGTTTGAATATATAAGAGAAAGATCTTCAAATAATTTCTTTTTTTTACATTTATTCATGTTTAAGTTTAGGAAATTGTTCATTAGCCTTGATAAATGAAAAATTATTAAATTTTAATCATGCAAATGATATATTTTTTGGAACCATGCAGCCATTTAAATGCCAAACCACCTTGACATTTGTTATCATATAACAATTATTTGATCATCATTGATATTTATTGAATAAATTTTATTACAATGTTGCTTCATATATTATAGTTCAAGAAAAAATCAAAAATTTATTTTTAAAATTAGTGTTTTCTTGTTCAGAGAAAAATAATCTCAAAACTGAATTGTGACTTTTTGTCCTGTGACTTTTCGTCCGTGACTTTTTGTCCTGTGACTTTCTGTCCTGCATTCTTCTTGAAGAGGGGGGAGAGTGCACTTCACGATAATCGGAAAAAGTGCCTTGCACGTTATTTTCATCACCTTGTCTTAAACAGTCTGAATAATGAGCTCCGGGGCGAAGCGTGAAAACAATAAGTTATGTGAAATACTAATGACAAACACGTTGTACGGACAAACCCTTAAATCCCTCAATGTTATGTCAAATGAATTATAGCGAGGAAAGGTAAATTTAAATTAATATCAAAACTAAATATTTGTTATATTTCGCTCCTGATTTCTCAAGAAATCATAGAATCAATAAATGTATAAATTTTAATTATGCATGTCTGTGTGAGATCCATTTCATGAGACCAAGGATTTTCCTTGATGGGACCCTTTATATATTCAGTTTTCTATTTTCCCCGGAAATTGTTTTTAAAAAATATAATCTTTTGGGAAATAATCCGATTTTGTTGAATTATTTCCCTTCATAATTACGATATATCCTTATAGTTCTTCAATTTTAAATTAAAATAAATATTTCATTTTGATCTAACGACAAACTTTTTAAATTGTAGTGGCATGGTCAGTCAACTGATTAGTTGCATGGCTGATTACCAGTTTACTGGCCACCCAGTAATTTTCCATATAACAGTGGCGTGTACCCTTGGGGTGTGTATAACTTATTTTGAATACCTTAATTTTCTGAGGAACATCCTGTCCACGTGTAATACTTAGTATATATTGCAACAGATGACATTAAACAAATTTTCTTTGTAGTATAACCTGGGTAAATGGCGTTCCGGCTAAATGAAAATCAAGAAGGAATATTTCGCTCCTTAAACTTTTATTTTAGCAGTCCGGCAAGACCGAACAACAACTCCAAACCAAAATGTAAAGTAACATACAAACAATAACAATATATATAAGCACAAGCAATTAAAGGATTAAGATGATTACGAATGCCAAATAGAAATAACAATAGTTTAGAAGAGTAATTAATGTCCGACACGTATAAGTAAATTATTGTCTATACTGTTACAGAGAATAAATAATTAAATTAAATGAATTTAAGTCCTTTGTCCAAGATTATGACACATAATCCGTGTAAAACACTTATGCCTAAATTTACGACAAAGTTCAGAATAATAAAATAAATGCAAAACCTAAATATACATTAAAACAATTGAATAAATAAAATGTTGTTTAAAACTATTTTCACACTGCACAGTCCAAATAGTCCGGTCATAGTAGCATCGGTGTCCATTTCATGTTCAACCACTCAAAAAATTTCACAAAAAAGATAATATAATAAAATCATTAAAAAAACACTAGCAAATAAACTTCGCAATGAGTAAACGGAGATTTGTGTTTTAAAGGGCTTATTTCCAGTGGATATATTTCATACTAGATAACTAGACCTGAGATAAACTTTTTTTTTGTAATATATATTTTATTATTTTCATATCATTCTCAAATCTCGATCATCTTAAATAAAGATGTACAAAAAATAATTTTGTTATAACTCATAAATATATGGTAAATCATAATTGTTACAAATTATAAAATGGTAAGTCAATGCCCGATGTGCCGCCGTCTGTTGCAAAACTACGATTTAATCTTTTAAATGAAAGACGTGCACTGCCTTCATCGGAACCGAGGAAAGTCCACCTAGTGTACATTAAAGAGTATCCGTTTGTTATGCTGAAAAAAAAGAGATCATCATAAACTTTTTAGCAGACCTTCTCGTGTAAAAAAAAAACAAACTTTTAACTGAATTAAACAAAAAATTATCAAACAAAACTCATTAGAACACTCATAGCAACATTTTGTTTAGACCTGAGATAACTTATAGTAAGATTATTTATATAGAACAATTAAAAAAAAATGTCCGATCTGATACACGTACCTATAATGTACAAAATTTTGAACAGCTTCAAATATATGGCCTTATCATTGGTAATATATCATATTTGTATCAGTTATTGCTGAACGTGTAAACAAATTAAAATGAAGAAATAGGCTCGAAACCGCATTTTTTAAAGATATTTTTTTCAATCCCAAAATAGGTAATAGATATACAGATTAAAGTCCAGATGAGAAGATTAACTTTCTTTTCTACCGAAGTAAATATATTAACAAGGATTTAGGATATCAATAAATTATTAAATTCATCAATTTATTAAATTTGAACATGTGAACCAAAAATAAAAAAAATAACTGACGGGAAATTGGCTATACCTTTTTGGTATTAGCCATGAAGTCATGTATGTACAAGCCACTTTAACTTATTGTTTTCTTAACCTTTAAACAATACATTTTAAAATGAACTACTTTATTTATAGTAGTTCAAGAAAAAATATATACATATATATATATATGACGTTGCGCACGATGTTGGTACCAATTCCATTTTGCTATAGATTAGCATAAAAATAAATACGAAGACTGGTCAGTTCGATAAAAATATAGTGATTTCTGATTGAATTCATTCCATTAGACTTGAAATTAAAGAAAAAAAGGAACCGAAATCTAAAATACCAGGAATTATAACACTTAATTATCCCATTTTTACGCAAAAACGTAATGTCCAACGTTTCATTTTGTGTGCAAAAGATCAAAGTTCCGTTTCTCTCCTACGGTATTTTTTCTCTGATCATCGTAAAACTTCACAATAATATTGCTATTGTTATATTATTCGCGTGTTAAAGCAAAATCAATATCACTGAAACCGTAATCCGGAAAATGTTTTTTTTGTAAACGGTCTGAAAAATGTCCAACCGTATGCAAAGTAAGTATATTTCGGGTTTGCACATTTATACCGTGAAATTGAAAAAGCTGAGAGAAAAAATATTTATTATATTTTGAAAGTTTTTTTACTTTTCTCCTGGTTCATGATATTTTTTTGCCGGAAACCATGCGTATAGTTTCTATTGCAATGACTTCAAAAAGTATAGCCATCTTGTCCCAAAGAAAAAAACGCTGTATTTTCTTTAAAATTGAGGTTTTAACCAGCTGTCTATCAAATAAGCATAGTTAGATCATAAAAAAAAAACTTGGCGGTAAAGGTTTTTCTGTTTTTCTTCTTAAACAATATAGTGTTTAATATTTATTCGTTAGGCAATAAGGTTTTTAGATCGTTTCAAAAAGTATAGCCGTTTTGTCCCAACGTTCGCAAAACGTAATTGATGTCATGCTCTGGTTTTTAATTTTATATCGTAATTATTTGTTTCCAGTTTAATTCGAATGAAAATAAAAATACATGTATAAATTACAATACAACCAATGTATGAGAAAGGAATAGTTTAAGTTTAAATTCAAATGTTGACCAAATGAGGTCGATATAAAAAAAATATCGGGGTCTTAGGGGTTTTTTTTATAGCATATTTGTTTTATATAAGGAACATTGTCTATCTGCAAGTTTTAAATCGTCAAAAGTAACATGTATATTTTTTTTGTTAATAAAATAAAATAGAGAAAACCCATTGCTGGCTATTATAACAAACAAAGGATATGCCACAAAAATACGGGAATGAGAAAATTTAAAACATGAGTCCCGAATGTTTAACTTCCTAAATATTTTGCGATAAAGAAAGCATCGGGAAATGATAAAATATAGAAAGGAAACGGAAACGGGAAGAAATGCAACAAAAGGAATAAATATGCAAAAAATAGGAAAATATGAATTCAAAATCTAATTTATATTAAAAATAAATCTGTGTAAATTTGGACATTATTGTATCGGATTCATTAATGCGAACTGCTGCCGAAAGGAAAATTATCTATTATGGTCTGGAAAGACTGACAACTCCTGTAAATGAATTTCATTAAAAAAATATCTATACGACCACTTTGAGTTTTATTTGTAAATTTATGCATTTTTTCAGACAAACCGAAATCGGTTACCAAATTCACAACAGTAAATTGACATCATCAATAATATGCTTGAACGCCTGAAACTTTCTTTGAAATCGTCGAAATCGCCTTATTTTGAGGAACGTCGTGAAACGCTAAGTAGTA